GCACGCACTTTTATATTAGTTTATTTAAGACTGATGCACTTTGATGTTTACTGTCGCAGGGGCTTGAGTTTTTGCACCAATCAGAAATTAAATTTCATGGCAATTTGAAGTCAACAAATTGCCTGATCGACAATTATTGGGTGTTAAAACTCTCCAATTATGGTCTTCATGAAATTCGAAGTCACGGAATTCAAGAGGTGCTGGGGAATCCCAATCGTACTAGTAATAACGAGGTTTTTTATTTTGTGTTTAACTTTTTGCACACTTCACCTCTAATTATAGAAGAGGTTTTATAAAATAGTCAACTGCTGTTTCATATATTTTATTGAGGCAGTTCTGTTTACTAAATTTTTCATTCGAAGCATCTGTAATTGCTTTCTTTTTCAAAATATCTGTCTCTGTTTTAATAAATTTTTTAAAATTAAGGGAAGCAGTTTTTCATTTCAAAACTGGTTAGTTTATTGTAACGCTGTTGAAAGCACACGGGCAATTTCAAATTGGTTTACCTAGATTCATCTGTTTATTTTGAAAAGTTGAACTTACTTAAACTTACAACATTAGTCATTAAATTATTTCAACTATGACTGTTCTTGGTTTACAGTTTTTGTGGATCTTAGAAATTATTTCATGTAGTTATAAAGAGCTGTCATTAAAAAATGTTTGATTTTTAGAGAAGAAAACTACTTTTTACCTCGGCCTTTCACTTCGCTTAATTCGTCAACTTTCGCCACCTCGCGCTTTATCTTTTAGTAAAACACAGTAAAGCCTTTCAAAGTGAAATTTGGCGGAGCTGCAAGAAAACACCAGTATAAAAGAGGGTAAAATAGAAGAGTCTGAGATGCTTTTTAAAAGTGCTAGACTTTGATGAAAAACGCAGTTTAGCAATTTTTGATTTAATTTCTTGCACAGTACTTTTATTTATAGCAAAAACCGTTACAAGCAATATTACGTTTCTAGCGTGGAACCAGAGTTAGTTATCACGGCAAAAAAAAAGCTGCGTTTTTAGATTTCGAAACTGACGATGGTCAATTGTTTTTTCAGTTTCTTTAGGAATTTTTTTCCTTTCAAAGTAAACATACGAGTTGATACTTTTCGAAACCTCTTGGGCTATGGCATCTTTTTAGAAGGACATAAGACTGCCATCTTATCATACTATCTCTATATTCCGCGGCACATTATTTTAAACACTAGAAAATCGAGTTACAGCTTCTGCGAGCTAGTATTTGGTCAGTAGTTTACTGTATACCGAGAATATAGAATGTGTGTCAAAACTGCAAAGTAAATAAGTTTTTTAGATTGCTTCTAACACAAGAAAATTAACAAGTAAATAAATCTATATTCTTAAGGAAAAACGGTTTAATATGGTAAATTTACTTATTTTGTGCTCAGTTAATGAGAGGGGTAAAGCGATTGCAAATAGAGCGATACTAATCTTACAGTGTCGTCTATCCAAACCAAAGTTGCTTTTATTTTTTTACAGCTTGTTTCTTTCATGTTAAAAGGTTGGTAAAAACAATAAAATTATGTTAAACTGACTATGGTAATAGAAGCACGTTTAAGTTTTTTATTCAGTCCTGAAAGCAGAATGTAATTAAGAATGTATTTTTTCTCTTTACTATCGAAATGCATAACACCAGCTTATAAATTCAGATCTCCGTTTCAAATTATTTTCTAATTTGATTACTCAAATACAGGTCTGTATTCTTACACCTTGTTGTTACGCAAAACAAGAAGAAAATTTCAAATTTTATTAATTTTTTCACTTTAAAGTGATAACGAACAACAATGATTCTTTAGTCGTCGTCTAATTAACTTCAATTCCCAAAACCTACTCTGTCGTTCTTTAAAAAAACGTTGGTAATGGTCACTGTAACTCTAAAAATCTTCTAAACGTCTAAGTTTCTAATGTATGACTGAAAACTTCTACCATCTCGCGAGTCTTTAATGCTTTCTTGCAGCCTGAACGTAGCCCAGTCAGCTACATTGATTGGCCTGAAAGATCGTGTTTTGTATATCTGGAAAAACGATAGTTTATTAAAACCTTAACTGGTTTAATGGATAAGAAATAAATTGTAATGTTTTGAAATTTTAATCTTTGTGATAAGTAAGTTCTATAATTTGAAATGACGCAACATTACGGGGGAACTAAAATTTGCTTATTCTTCAATACTGAGGTTATTTCTAGCAGTTTGAAAGTTTAACTACTGAGAGTTTATGGTAGACTTTTCTGCTCTTGTCTGCACATAAAAATCTCGTGACGGTTGTCTTTAACCAGTGATTAAAAATCAGCAAAAAATGCTCTTTACAGGTAAAAAGAAAATTTAAACGCTTGTTTCTATCTATCACTTTTTATGAATCGCTGAGCTAGTCTTTGTCGTCAACATAAATATACTTTTTTTACCTTAAGCAAAAAATGCTTCGAAAAATGTTTGTTTCCGTTCCGAAACATAAAATTTCCGGAGAGGATTAGTGCTTGCTTGTGCCAAAAACAACGTCAAGAAATGACTGTTGATCTTTTTCTTACCTTTTTTTAACCTATTTCTTTTTCTTTGCTTTCCTCTAGTTTCTTCAAAACTGACCTTCTAAGATGAAGGCAAGAAAAGAAAGTTAATATAATAGAGAAAAAACAAAGAAAATTCAATGCTTTTGGCGTAAGAATTGCGTATTTTTCTTGGCTTATTTAATTTTTAAAACATCTTTTTTATTTACTTGCTTTGTTTTTTTTAGCTAATTTTTCTTGTCTTAAATATTCGAATTGTGGACGCAGTTTTATTTAGCCACATTCTGCCTTAATGTCTTTTTATTCTTCTTACATGAAATTTCTGAACGTGCTTGACTATGACTTGAATGCGATCATTCCTGTTTCCTGAAGCAAGTGCGTTTTACCTTGTTTTTCTGCTCTTATAAGTATGGGGATGAGAACCGCAAAAAACACTTTCCAAACTATTTTTAGGAGAAGAAACTCTGAAGAAACGTAAAGGGATTCTATAACTGCCTTTTGAAAGCCTCTACAATGACGTATAATCTGCACTGTAACAACTGCCATGACTTTTAAATAGGACTTGTGCACGTTTCTGTCTGCCAATACCGGCGAGCTCTACGGTATCAGTGTGACAAATTGCTGTTAAAAAAATAAAAGGTAATCCAAGCATTTTCAAAAACTAGTGAGTAATCGTCAAGCCCGTTTGATAAGACAGACCAAGTTCTACTTTTTTAGCAGGCTACCTCAGAAAAATTAAAAATTTTTTTTACTCTTTCTGGTATGAACGCGACACTTCTGCCCTTCATTTACGATCTAGGCAACAATACCTACACCACTGCATCACGACGCACAAAAAGTACATGTGGATTTTTTGAAGAGGAAAAAGCAAATAAGTTGCGTTTGTAGTTTCCGTAAAGTTTTTTTCAAAAAATAATTTTTTTTAGTGCATATTACTGCACATAAAAAGCTGTACAGAAAAATTGCTGTTTCAGTCAATAATTTAAGAAGCAGCAGAAGTATTTGCATTACAAATAAGTGGGATATTTGTATGTTTTGTAGTTGAGAATAACTAGAGAAAGAAAACTTATTTAGAGATTCACTCATCTCTCTTTGCGCAGGTTCCTGATTTTCATTCAAATTTTTGTTAAAGGTTTTTTTTGAACAGATATGCTAATGGCATATAACTCTTAAAGCTTTATGATTATATAAGAAGTTCAAAACCAAATAAATGTAAGCTAATAAAACTGTTTAACTTTAAAAAATTTTCAATTTGATATTATTATATCTTTATTCATGAGATTAATGGTTACCTGTAAGTATACAACATACACATTAAATAAACAAACTTCGCTTATGAAACTTTTCTGTCGCTAATTAGGCAGTATGGCACAAGGAAATCAACGGCAGCTGTAAATCACAGACTGCAATTTATTGACCTTTAGGTCTTACGACGCATAATATTATGCTTTGATCGCTTACTGTGGGCTTTTTCTGAGTGCTACACAAATTGCGGATGCTGTGGCATTATTTTTAAGCCTGTGTGAACAACATCAGACTTAGACGCTCAGATAATTTTTCAAGTAACAAAGTTGTTTTAAACTATCGTTCACTCGTAAAAAATAATTTTAAGTGATTGCTCTGATTTTCTGTTTTCACAATGAGCCACATCTGTCCGCAGTGTCTCAGTTCTATTCGTAAGCATTCGAATGCTTGATGTGGGGTTTTCGTATTACGCAGGGACTGAAGTTTAGCGAAATTTAGCAAAAATCTGTCACTGTCGAGATTTTTTCAGTGGAAATCTGACACTGACAGATCTCTCCTCGACTGTAGCAAGCTGCGACGGCAGCGAGGTCGCGGTTTGCGTGGAGAAGGGTCTTTTTAAAATGTTTCTTTCCGAAAGTATGTAGCTCCCTCAATGTGCGAGAGTCCTGTTATATTTGTATTTAGCTGTAGTATTCGCTGCCAAAGTTAAAAAGCTTCTTTTGCATTCAACCAGTACTTTATTTTTAGTTGAAAAATTCTAGTATTTTGACTGACATGAATTGTTCCAGAATGTTTCTGTTCACCTTTGATATTGAGGGTGATTTTTGGTCAAATTAATCTGAATAAATTTGAAGATAGAAAAAAAGAAGTGACTTTTCATTTAGTTTACTTCGGTTTTCCTTAAGTAAAGCAGCTGTTTATCTCACTGTCATGCGGCAACCAAAGTTTTTTCACAATTGCAATGAAAAAAATCTTCCAGTACTGTTCCAATATAAATCGGGAGTAGTAGAGATGGACAGTGGCGGCTTTTCCTGCCAGTGCAAATTATCGGCTTTCTAATTTAGCACTTTTTCGCTTAAATTGGCTTGCACACTTTCTTTTAAGCTTTACCAAAATTTAGTGATTAGGAAGAATTTTAATGTAAAGGGTTTATTTTCTTTTCTTCCAAGTAGTGCTTGATTTTCTCTCGTCGTCAGAAAGTTACTGACTTGAGGACTTCCCTAAGTACTGCAACTGGTTCAGCCCCAGAGACTTCTGTGCGTACACTAACTGGACATAAAGTGGTTTGAAAACGTAGTTTTCCAAAACAGATTCAACATTTTATGTCCATGTTTTTAAATCAAGAGATACTTTTTTACTGATTTTTACTTCTACCTTGACAGCTGACCGGAGCACATACATTAAGCTGCAGTGCAGTTAAAAATTACTTGCAAACTAACTTAGATTTTCAATTTTTGGCGAACTGTTTACCAAAATCAGGGAGAAATAAGCTTAAAATACTAAACAATTTTCAAAAACTGTTACTCACAAGTAGTTTTTCTGCGGAATTTACTAGTGGAATTAAAACCCATGATCACGCTAAGAAAGAATTGGTTATTGTTTTGTTAAAGAAGGACCTATTGTTTTGATCTATTTTTCGTTTTTTTTAATCAAAAGTGGGAACAGTACTTGTAACACGACGAATCAGAGACTAAAAGTTGAATAAAAAGAAAATAAAGTACAAAAACTGTTTGAAAACTGGTTTCGTCTTTAAATAACACTGCATAGACTTCTGCGATACGCAATTATTTTTATTTACTCAAGGTTCTTTTTATAGTGGTTGAAATTTTTGTGGACTGCTCCAGAACTGCTTAAATCGGACGACCACACAATTGGCTCGCAAGAAAGCGATATATACTCTTTCGGCATTATCTTGCATGAAATTCACACTCGTCGAGGACCTTTCATGATAGATGGAAAAAATAGCCATTTAACTGCCAAAGGTACAAAGTTATTCTGTATCATTGCTGAAGATATGATTAAAGGAGAAGAGTCATTTTTCTAAAACGTCAAATACGTAAAAATGCTAGAATATGCTGCTATTGAAATTTATCGTTTTTACGCGCTTCCTTAAATGAGCCTGTAGGTAATCAATATACTTAAATTTTTTTTGAAATTTACAAAATGCTAATTTCTCAAAATATGATCTTCTTTATTTGAGAAAATAGAAACTTGTACTTGTAAGTTGTTGAAGAAATTGTGAACGGTGTCAAAAACAGTGGTTTGCGTCCTTACTGCGATTCGTTAAATGCAGAAGATTTTGTTATGAAAACCATGATAGAGTGCTGGGCTGAGAAACCGCAAGATAGGCCTGATGTTTTCAAAATACGAAGTGCGTTAAAGAAAATGTTCGAAGGTTACGAAGGGAGTGCAATGGTAAGAAGACAGATTACTTGTATTGCATAAAAAAAGCCGGCTCAAGAAGTTATTAAAAACATTAAAGCAGCTGATGAGGTCTTTAACATGATTTTTTGCCGAGTGGTAAAATGTTTTATAAGATTCTGATTGTAATAACATCCTTGTTTTTTAGAATTTTTCTTTAAAGCATTAAAGTTCCAATTTTATTATTCACAGGACCATGCCCTGAGCAAGATGGAGTTGTATCAGAAACATCTGGAGGAACTCGTTCAGGGACGAACTGTACAGTTAGAAGAAGAAAAGCGAAAAACAGAGCAGCTTTTGCAGAGGATGTTGCCAAGGCTCCTAAATTTTGATATCTTTGTCGACATTTAATTAAATATACATCTTTTAGTGTCTATTATGAGTTTAATAGAAACATTTCAGAACTGTCGCTGAACAGCTTATAGTAGGTAAAGATGTAAAACCTGAGTTATTTGAAGCTGTTACAATCTACTTCTCCGATATTGTTGGATTTACCGCTTTATCAGATAAATCTGCACCAATGGATATAATAGAATTTCTTAATCAGCTTTATACTTTATTTGACAATATTATTAAACTCTATAATGTGTATAAAGTGAGTACATTATTCTTAGTATGAGGTAACTCTTGAAGTAACAATGGTATTTTTTTCAATTTTTCAAAAATATGTCATCATTTTTTTAAACATCAACTCTTCGTCATAATTTTGTGAGCTAAAAAAGCTTGTCGTTTATAATTAACAGAGAAGTAAGAGAATTTAGGTGGAAACAATTGGTGACGCTTACATGGTTGTTTCCGGAGTACCGGAGAGGTGTGAGGATGATTCACATTCTGAAGCTATTGGAAAAATGGCTTTACATCTGCTTTACGCCGTAAAGGACTTTTGTATCCCACATCGGAAAAGCGAAAAGGTCGAATTACGAATTGGTATTCACACCGGCCAGTGTGTTGCTGGAGTGGTTGGAAAAACAATGCCACGATACTGTCTGTTTGGCGACGCCGTAAATACAGCATCAAGAATGGAAAGCACTGGAGAACGTAATTGATTTTGTAAGAAATTATTATAGAGATGACGATTGAGCACAAAAAATTTTTTTTCGAAATTTGGCCTGTCGACAATGAATGACTAGAAAATTACTTAAGCTAATGTACGTTAGAATAAACTTTATATTTATCAGCGCAACTTTTTTGTTCATCAGTGTTGCGCATCATTCCTCATAAACAAAACATTTATTACACTTATGACTGCCAAAAAACATTACTTGTAAATCTCATCATCAAAAAGTAACTCTCATCATTTTTTTTATACGGGCATTATCCAAACGCTGTCTCAGTGATACTGTTAAAATTGTCTTCCGTAATTCCTCTGTATGCAGAAACCCTTTTTCTATTTATGCGTCCCTATACAGAGGACGGCTGAGGAAAGCTTTTTGAAGACTTACCTCTTCTATTTAGTCTTCCTCCTTCTTACTCGAGAAGACATCAAGTCATTGTTATGGTGTGAATCTCAAATGTTACAAAAAATTTTTTTCAAAAAAAAAAAAGAAGAACAAGAACTCCAATGGTTGCACCACTGACAGAGTCCCTTACTTTTTTATGTATCTTGAGTTACTTGAGCGACAAAGGCGTTTTGGAGCAGCACAAACGTCTGAACTTTTGGTAGTAATATTTCCATTTTCAATCAGACCAATTCGCACTGCACTTTTGTGTATTAAAGTCTTTTTTGTAATTCAAGTGCTGAGTAAGTTGACTAATGTTGCGCTCGCTTCGCTCCCAAGCAGAAAGAAATCAGTTGGCTTCTACTGTATAAGCTGAAATTATCGAAAATAAAAGCACTTTGACATATTTTGGAAATAGATCGCTTTTTTATTGATCATTTGAAAGATATTAGATGAGAAGCTTGCTCTTGCAAAAGTTGGTTTTGAGAGATAGATGGCTTTTCTGCAACATTTATTATTGGTACGCACTTATTTCTAAAAAACAAGCACGATGTCTGAAAAGAGAGGAAGAAAAGTTACGTAGAGGTCAACAAATTTTTCAGGTGTGTAGAAAGAAAGCGTCACAGGAAACTTGGTTTCTATGGTAAAACATTTTTTTCAAAACTCGGCTAAGTTAAAGGACGCCTTTTGACTTTACATTAATTGAAGCATCCGAGGTTCACGTGTAAGAAAAATTATTTGAATGGCCTGTGAAACACTTAGCAAACTTAGTTTTCATACTTCAGTTGATTATATGAGCTTCTTCAGCGATACGCGCTCAGAGAATTTCAGAAAGCACCTTTCAACAATCCAGATTTTGGTCAGATAGCAGAGGTTTACGAAATGATTCTTAACAGAAGAAAATGCAGTAGAGGCATGGAGAAAGAGCAGTAACGACGTTTTTGAGGCATTAAGTTAGGAACTAATAAGTGTTTTGTCGTTCTAGACACTGGAACTTTTCTGCTGCTGATCATGCAGTGCTTTTTTTTTCTAGGAAGACTGCGATGCTTGGCTAGTACGCGGTGTGCACAACCATTAGAAATACGGCATAAGGGTATCAAGATCAGATTGTAAATTACGACTGCACTTAGCTCATTCAGTCCGACAACTCTATCTTTCTTTTTCCCGCTCTGATGCGTAACGCCCCAGAGGAATTTCTGGATAACCAATGGCAGATGCCCAGCGGATCAGAGACCATCCTAGGCAGGATGATGCACTGCAACATTGAGTCAGCAACCTCATTTTTAACTCTTAGTGCGCCGACGCGCAGCTTGACTAAATTGAAAGTAGTAAGCGAGCTTTTGAAAATATGACCCTTCAAGTACACAAGGGTTTATTAGTTTAAAAAAGCGTGGGTTGAAACAGAATACGCAAAGTTCTCGAAGAATCCTTATAAAAACAATAGTGGCGAAGCTAACCGAACACTGGTTTTGCCGCTAATGTCCAGTACGATTTGGTCGTAGACTATCATGCGAACCTGCCTCAAGTAAAAAACTAATCAAATGAAAAATTTTTTTTTAAAAAATGTTTCAACTTTTCTTTCCTAAAAGCTTCTTTTTTCTCAAAAGCAACTTTTTCGCAAACTACTGTTTTTACTCCTGTCTGCTGTTTAAGTTTTTTAGTTGTGAAAGACAAGCGACAAGCGCGCTGGACTGAGAAGTGAAGTCATGCTTTAAAATCTTTACGAAGTGTTAACTGCTGAAGAGAATCTCGGTGGTCAAAATTTGAAATGCTACTCATTCAAAATTAACGAGAGCGTCCATCGGTTACAGCCATTGAGTAGAAGGCAATAAACAGGGCACAAAAACCCTTCTATTCAGTCTAAGAGAAATAACTGAGTTGCAAAGCTTCTAGTCTAGCAGAAATGAATAAATGGAAAAACCTGCAACTTTATCAGCGAGAAATCATTGTGTTTGAACCAACAATCACGACACAGCGCGCAACCCACAACCGCTCACGCCACACAGCATTGCGATAATTGTTTAATTAAGCCATATATGTTCAATTTTTATAGCTCTTTGCCATTTAGCTTTTCCACCTTTCTCTCCTCTTCTGTCTTGTAACCGAGCTTATCTTCTTTTTATCAGAGAAAGTTTCTTCGGTCACCTCACAATCGAAGAAACTTTATGATGTCTAATCGGTTGTGTAACCTAACCAATTTAACTTTTTTCTCAATCGGGGAAGACTTCTTTGAGAACTCGTCAAGTTTTCTGTGTTTTTTATATTCGCATGCAATTGGCTCTAGGCGAGTTGCACTAGCTGTGCGTCAGGGAGCGAAGAAGGATCACTTGCACTTATCAGTTAGTTGGTCGTACTGTATAAGGCTTTTACATACTGTACCAAAAAAGCTTGCTTCTGATTGGTACAATCTTCTGCAACTAATCAGCATGATAAGGCCGTCAGTGTAAATAAAAGTCCACTGCACTTTACTGTTCTCGAGTCCATGAGTTTGCATATGCTCTGTTGAGTCTCTACGGCGAAACTTTAAAAAGAGTCATAAATTAAAGTGTGCGATGGACTAGCAATTTCTTACTCGCATATGTGTAGAAAGAACCGTACAGCGAGAGGGCATTGTGCCACTTTCGATCTCAAGAAGTGAAGCTTCTTCTATAACCCCGCATTTGTTATTTAAAATTAAAGCGTTTTTTACAGGCATCTGGCTGGTTAGAATCTAACCCACTTTTGATGGCGTCTTTATGTGACAAGTTCAAATAAAAGTTTTCTGTAAGGTTCGGACAATAAAGATAATTCTCACTTTCTCCGATGCACGGCTAACGCAACCCGTCTGAGGTTGGTTGCACAAAAATATATAGGAAACACGATGGCTTCAGCGTTCCAGCAAGTTTTCTTCCTCAGAAAATAAAACTGATTGGCTAACCCAACTAAATGAGCATGAAATGGTCCCTCCCATTGCGAGGCGATTGCTAAATGCATTTTAGTAAAGAGAGTTAGAAAGCTGAAAAAATAGCAAATCTCTCTTTTTAGAATGCTAGTAAAAAAGATGTAAGAAAGAGGGGAAGGCAAGTAAAGTGTCCGGAGCTCTTTCCCTTTCTTTCCTTTACCTAATCGCTCTAAAACTGTTCAGGTATGTCTTGAACTGCGAGGATGTTGAGCTGTCGTTTGTCAGAAGTAATTGTGAGCTAGCATGTCGCATAGTGACAGCTGGTTCTATTTCCAAAGAAGACCCACTTTTTGCGCTGTTAAAGCTACAGAATTTTTATTTGTGTTTGTTTATCATTGAGACTGAAAGTTACCTCTGCTAATCTTGGATGTAACTCGTTGTATTGTACCAATTGAATGATGATCAGCATGCGTTCTCGAAAAATCAAAATGAAATGACTGCGTCATTTCAATCATTAGAATCTTCTTCAGAAGCTAAAGCTCTTGATTAAGGAGCTGCTTTCTTTAAGTCCTCCAAGTTCTCTTTGCCCAGTACTTTTTTTTGCGGCAGCGGTACTATTCTAACCGTCGGTAGGAATAAAAACGATATTGCGCGGAGAAGGTGCTTTTGATGCAAAAAGAGAGTTTGCTTCGAAGAGGTAGGGTTTTAAATGGGGATGTTTTTTGAAAGAGGAGTTTGGAAACCAAAAGAGGTTTTTTACTTACCTCACTGCTGGATGCGGGTTCGCATTCAAGTGTACGACCGAAATGCACTGGAAATGAGCCGAAAAACTGGCGGTACGACAAGCTCTGTCACTACAATATTTTATTCTAAGGTCTTCAGGGATGTTGCGTCTCCATCCTTAGCAAGCAACTTGCTAAGTTAAGCGGACAGGCTAAACTTGCCGAGATTGATGAGGCAGTTTTGACACGTAGAAAAAATAACAGAGAAAGGCTCGTTTTTCACCTGTGGTATTTTTGAGGTATCGAGAGGGAAAGCACTATGTGCTTTATTGTTGCGATTGACCGCACGGATGCTGCTATCCTTGTGCCGCTTTTGTGGTCGTGTATCTTCACACGTACTAATATTATTTCGGATAAGCGGGAGGCTTAAAGCGGCATTCGAGACCTGCTCGGAAGTTACCAGCGTTTGACGGCAAATCACAATTTGTTTGAGAAAACCCTGCTCACCAGGTCAGATGAAAAAAAATGAGGCTACCAGTCTAAATAAGCTTCAGTGTTTTTAGCTGACTTATTCTGAGAGTTCAAGAGTTCTTAGAATGTTTTTTTGTCATTTTGCTTATCATATTTATGATCACATAACGTCGCTGACTGTTACTGGTATCCAATGCTTTCGATGAGTTATTTGCTCAAAAACAGTTGATGGGTTAAATTCTTTTTTCTTTACTTGTACCTATACTTGTAGAAAACGGGAAATTGCTGAAAGTCCAACAAGCACCAGGTAGCCACGATTGCGGTAAGCATAACAATGGCAGACTCTTGACGAGTATCTTAATGTAAAATAAATGCGAAGTGGAAAAAAATTAGTTACTCATGCAAAATACCGATCAGTCTGCACCTAAACAGCTTTCAAAATAGTCAGTCGAGAGACTCCAGTCATGTTAAAACGCACTTTTTAAAAACACACACGTGAAAGATAAAAAAGTCCTCGTTAAAAAAAATCAAAA